GATGTTAGAGCATCAGAAACATCCCTGAGGCATGGAACTCTCTAGGCACACTCGTGCAATCAAGACTAGCCAATCCAGCGAGGTTAGAGCACTAGAGGCTGCTACGCACCTCTATTATCCGCCCAGCCTCTTTGGGCCTGCGTTGTCTCCAGGCACGAGCCATTCCAGTCCGCCTTTCCACCTTTCCGAAGCAAAAGCAATGCAGCAGAGAAGCAGGTTGGACCAAGATTCTTCAGTACCAGTGTTGGCCAATCTGTCCCCAGAAAATGACATCTAAGAATAGGGCTTGTTCTGATGTATGCTTCGAAGCTGAATACCGGCATTCTCTTTGAAGCCAGGTTTCACAGTTTGTCCCAAAAGAACAGTGCGTACTCTGACACTCTATCCCTCCTACTTTGGTGGAAGCCAATGGCCCTTTCTTTTGTGAAATGATATCAATCGTAGGTTATGTTTTGATTTGTATTAGTCTGTTCTTTTTAAAAATAAAAAATCAGCCCCCCAAATTTCAGAGAGAAAATTTTGCTATTTATGAATCCAAGTCTGGGAACCACCAGAATAGAAGACCTTAGAGGTACTTTCCAGACACATAAGTTTCTAAGAACTGGCCCCTCATTCTAGGCTTCCAGCCCTCTCCAACGCGGAGATTGGACTCCACTAGCCGATTCCCCTTTTCTGCAGTCATGTCTACACTGTCTCACAGAAACACGCTGTGGAGTAGCCTTGTGGCAACGGGGCTCAAGGTGAGTTGGGGAAGCCACTCAGTAATACCTACCACATGTAACCAGTCAATCCTGAACAAAATGGTCACCCTGGAAGAGACCCTAAGCTGGCAAATCTCACCTGACACCATGAGTCCTAGTTATCTCGCAGTAGGTAGTAAAGTTTGTCTCTGTTGCACCCTTATTTTTAGGTCCAGCATTACACCCCCTCTCCCATGGGCCCCCAGCTCTCACACCACCTGGGGAGTCACCCTCCTCCTTCTTCTGCCTAAACCCTAAAGAATGGTCTCTCTGACGACGCTGCACTGAGGGGTCAGGGTTCCTGCTTGCCAAAACCACAATCTAAAGGAACGACGAACACTGAAGAACTGAGGAAGAAGTGCACACAGGTTCAAACACTACACAGCTGTCACTTGCTCAACTACCTCGCCTCAATGCCTTTCAGTTCTCGTCCCCCCTACCTACTTCGCCCTCACCCCTTCCCATACCCATTTGATTCCCCATCTTCATAGTGGCTATTTGAGATTTTGTTTCTTCCCTTTGAATCTCTCAATTCAGACCATAGCATGCTCTATGTTCTACATTCGTGGGTCTTCTTCCCTACAGGAGCTCATTTTGTTCATTTACCCACACGGAAATTCAACCGATAATGTAGTTTAATTCTGTGAATACTTGTTTATTGAGCTCTTACAATATGCTAGACACCTGGATTATTGAGATGAAAAGAGCCCATCCTCCCCCCCTCAGGGAACTCGAGTAAACAAGAGAAGAAACGGTCTTCTATTGGCTCTGACTCTCAAATCCGGCCCATTTTCTCCCTCTCTTTCTCACACTAGCCCAAGTCTCATGGGGAATTAAAATGAGTAATAGACTTTCACCACAAAAGTGCCTCCTGCAAGCTTGAAAAGTTAGTGGCTTTGTATAGTTCCTTCCGTTTCCTCCCCCCTTTGCACCTCTGCAAAGCTCTGAAGAGGTGATGAATATAACTTTGAATCAGCAGAATTTCTGAGGTGGAGCAGGTATAGGAGGGGGTCACAGAGGACTTGACAGCTGGGTAGGTGTAGCCTTCTCTGGGTCTCTGCCTTCCAGTAATTGTTTGGTTTTCCATCTGTATGTCTGTCCTTCAGCTCATCTGATATTTCATTCTCCTCAGGATGGCAGCAAACCTTGGGGAGTTGTGAAAGGATCTGGGCGAGAGGAGAGACGGTACTTTCCACACCCTTGCCACAAGAGCAGGCTTCCAAGGGAAGACAAGGCCCACCTTCGGCCATGTGATGCTTTCATCGGGAGCTCCTGCTTCTGAACCTGCTGTTCCTTTAGAAAAGATTTTTTCTCATTCACAGAAGCTCTCTGTTGGCCATCTCTAGAGGAATGACGTAGGCCCATCCATATCACCCATCTGCCATAAAGTCCTCACTGACGACCTCCCGTAACTAACCCAAGGGCCTGCCTTGTCCTGGTAAGCTCATCTTAGATTCTGGCCTGCCAGAGGAAACCATTAGCTGTTCTTCCTCCCAGCCACTCCCCAGCATACTCACTGTTCTTTACCAACGTAATTATTAGACAGGAACTCAAATAGAATCAGAAGATTCACACCCCAGAGCTCTTTGCTCTTGACAAAAAGCCACCTCTGCCTGGTGCTACCAACCCTGTATTTGTTTTGCTAAACTTCACAATTCTTCTAACACCAGTGTTCTGGCTAGAGAGAGAAAAGCTGAACTGGAAAAGGAGGGACAGCTCACCCACCTACTCTCAGGGCCAAGAAGAGGGGAGCCATGGCCGGGCGCTGGTTGAGGTGGCTTCCTTGTAATTCCATCACCCATTCCCCAGACCTCTCATCCAGATATGTCTGTCAGGATCCAGGCACAGTGCAGGAACTTCACGTGGAGAATGAGTTCTGCGTGAAGTGGGTTGGGAGAACCAGGCTTTCTCTCTCTCCTACTGCCCGCTCTCTCCCAGCTTCCCTGTCCAGTCCCAGATCTCTTCGTTTACACTGCTGGACTCATTAGAGCCGACTCGGGGGCTCTGGCTCTTCCCCTCTCCCTTCTCCCATCTCCTAACCTCACCCTTCTCTCACCCGGCTTCCTTTCACAGCCTCCCTTTCTGAGCCACTCAGAGAAAGTGTAGGCGTTCCCTCTGTTCTGTGACATCCCAAGGAGAGAGAACAAGAAGGCGCCTGGCAGGGGCCGGCCCTCCTGTGCCAGCTGCCCCTTCCTCT